TTCCCACTTACCCTTCTGAAAGTTGGTGAATAGATTATTTGGAAAATTTGAAAGTTTGGACATCAGAGCTGTCTAAATGTGCTGTGCTGTAAGGTTCTGTCCTGATATTTCCTATCTTTTTCTCTTTAATACAGAAATATGGAACATGACTCTTCAAGCTTATTTCAAGTCAAGGCAGGACATGAATTCTGGACAGTCTGGTTTACAAATTACTTCAAGTTCAAAATCATGATAAGAAATGTTTATATACCTGAAGAAGTCTCACATCTGTTAACAGTAAAGTTGTTTTAATTTTTGGATTTCTTTATGACCTACTATAGATACCAGAATATATTTGATGTGAAGATAGTTGTATTGTTCTTCAGACTAAGAACACCTAAGCTGTGATGTTGAGCAGATGTGCTGTTTAAACTACTGTATATTGAATTTACAATTTACCATCTGTGGGATGTTGCTGGAATTCAAGACAATTCAAGCAAAAGGATTCAAAAATAGTGTATGCAGGTTTTTACTTGGGCGCATTCCTTACACCTGGATGGTGAGATCCAAGGCTCCCTCATTATTGAAAAAGCAAAATATTGGAAATCTGTAGTAAAACCAGCAATGTTAGAAGTACTTAGCAGATTTGGCAGCATCTATGGAGAATGAAGCAGAGTTGATGACCAGATAATCATTTTTGCAGTGTAGAAGGGGTTTGCACATTGGGACCTTGTGGAAACCTAACAGTGAACTCTGAAGGAATTGCTCAGAGAATTGATTCCATTGCTCTGTACCTGGAACCCTCTGAAAGTATTCATTTAAATTGGAGAATTGAGGGTTCTGCTGCTCATTAACTAGTTACTCCAGAAATGTTAAAATATTAAAATTCTAGTCTAGCTCTTAACTATTAAGCTAACACCCCAATTTACACCCACCAATTCCTTCTGGCCTGGCACCTAATGCCTTCTCTTCACTTGACCCACCACAAGACCCATCCATTTTGACTAACTCTAAACACTCCATCACTTAACCTGGCTCCCTTCTCACCTTGTGTCCTGGCACCTTAAAGAATAGAATCATCACCAAATGCTGCTGTCCAAAATTAAAGGAAAGCAAGAAAATACACAAGGAAATTTCAAGATGAGGGAAGAATTTATGATCTGAAATTGTCAAACTCTATTTAAGCATCTGATTGAAAGATGAGGTACTGTTCTTCCTACTATCACTGTACAATATCAGAGAACCAGGATGGAGAGGTCAATGTAGGATCGAGGTGGACAATCAGAACTGTGACCAGAAGCTTGGGGTTACACTTGTGGACTGAAGAGGTGCTTATTTAAATAATTACTGTAATTGACATTTTCTCTCCCTAATGTAGAGGAGACCATGTGGTGAGCAATATATACGTTATCCTAAATTGAAGCAGGTACAAGTAAATCTATATTTCACTTCCATGCAGGATTATTTAGGAGCCTGAATGATGAGAAAGTTGGAGATAAAAGGATAGGCGATGCATCTCCTTTCTTTACATGAAAAAGTGCCATGAGATAGAGAGAAGTTGTGGTTGCTTGAGAAGTAAACTGGTGTCCAGGAGGGAACTGTTCTGTGGAATGCTGATAGGGGAGGGGAAGGGAGGGTTTGGTGCGTTGGTGGCAACATCACGCTAGAGACGGTCCTTTATACGTGGAAGCTGATGAGACAGAAGATCCCTTTATCCCTTGATTGTGAGAGGAACTTGTCCTAGCTGCTGTTTTAATGAAGTAATCGACTCAACTTCCTGAGCTGGACTAATCGAGATTTTGAAGCCTAATTTCCCTGTAGCAATAACAGTTTGCCCGAAACAATGAAGGTGAGCGAACTTCAAATGACCATTGCAGTTTTATATATAGCGAAAGGTCATAATTGTTTAGGATTGAATAAAAGAGACACAATTATTTTCCATGATCAATAATGTCAGGTGATATACATATGATCAGAAATGTGCACATACTTCCTATCTGTCACATTGTGATTTGGTGGTCCAAGCACTGCTCGCAACAATTTCTAGGTTACTGCATTTTAAGGAAAATCTAAAAAATAAGTCTTTTTAAAAGAAAGCAAACAGGTGGAGTTGCTTCTTCGGAAAATAAAGTCACCAAAAAAGTATTCAAGGTCATAATGTCAGGCTAATGGTGTGAAATAAGAATGGATTGCTGTCAGCTCATCAACTGTTTCATATTTCTTTTAGGTTCTTAATT